CTACAGAGTCTTATATATGGTAATTTTACTTAATTTCCAAGCCGGTCAATGTTACCCTGTCATGGCTGCTATTAGGTGTTCACATTTTGCCCACTGGGGGGCGGCGCCCCCAATTTGCAAACTATGACACTTTCCTAAAATTTGTCATTTGCATATGTACACTGTTAGAAAAAACGGTGAAAAAACGGTCCCACCGGCGTTCTAGTGGCCGGTCGCCCCGTGAAAATAAACGGTTTTGCCGTTTTTATCAAATGTTTAACTGATCTCTAGTGTTAAATTAGAATAAAAACGGCGACACGGTGTTTCTTTTCACGTGCCGACCGGCCACTGAAACGCCGGTAATACCGTTAACGGTAATTTTTCTAACAGTGTAACTAGAAGAGTTCTACTACATTGCACCAAAACCTGGAGTTATTTGGAGTTATTTTACCAATAAATGAAATTGATTTTACCACCCAGTCTGAGAAACCCCAAAGTGACAAAGACCATCACTTTGAAATTACATCAAAACTATGAGAGGCAGGAGCCAGCAATTTATGGTGCGTGAAGCTAGAGTATAGACCTGTATTTTGCACGTTTCAATTTAAGTTTAACTTATCTAGTAAAAAAATGGCATCATTTTGAAAAAAAGTGGTCAAAGTTACCCCATTTTACAGTACCATATATGGTAACTTACCTGCAAAATGGTTAATTATTATTACAACACTTCTCTTCAACTTCACTTCTTGTTTGTTTGATTGTGTTTGTTTGTCTGTCTGCTACAAATCTTATAATCGATATTTGCCACACTTCTACCTGTCCAATTGATCTGCAATGTTGCACATTTGGGTAAAGTCAGAGACAATGCATGTATCAATTGACAGAATAAATAATTTTGAAAAAATGTTTAAATTAATTTTTCAATATTTCATAATAAAATCATAAATTCATTGTACATGTGTAACACCAGAGACACTGGATTCTTTGGAAGTGTTGTCTTTAAAAAGTAATTTTTAAATGCATATTATTCTGTGGTGTAGACATCATGATCATGGATGCTTCTGACCCAGATCTCAGCAATCTTGAATGAAGACTTGGGCAAAGTTAAAGTATTTGAGACTTGAGTTGTGTTCAGGGGCCCTGGGCTGCACTGGCATCCACTCGTTGCACTTAACCTAGTGAGGAAAATCTCTACTTCTGAACTTCTAATTTTTTGAGCCATGAAAGATGATTTAGGAGCCACAAAGTCCTGTGCACATGTCTCTCCAAGTCTCTAATTTTAGTTTTTGAAGTTCAAAACCATGAAAACAACTTGATGCATACACAAGTTTTATTTAAAACCCACTTTTCACTCTACAGTTTTTTTATAAAAACCTGAGGGGTTTTTAAGTTAATAAGCCCAGGTGGGTAGGTGTTCAGCTTCCTGGGCAGGTGCCCAGTGCAACCCAGATTCATACAGTCATTTGACCTATTTTTCTTCAACTTCCATCACTGTGCAACTATTGGCAGAGCTCTGAAATTTAGAGAGCATGCTGAAAGAAATGCTAGATTGTTTTCTCATCATCTTTCATTAACAACCCAGTACAATATCAAAGTATTTTTTAGCACAATTTGGCACATTTTGTGAATTTCAACTAATCAAGTAGACAATAGAAATTTCTAAAAAAAATATTTGTTTTTTTTTTTTTGGCTTCAAACCTAAGCCGCTCGAATTAAGCTTCCAGTTGGGTGGGACTTTTAAAACTAAATGCCTTTTGTGGATTGGAGAAAAATCTGCCTGTGCCATTTTGGTCTTTTTGTTGTGGTCTGTGCTTGGTTTGTGCACATACCTACCAATAGATAAATCACTCCTTGAGTCCTTATACAATTGACTATAAAAGTGCATGATTGAGCCATAATACTCCAAATGATTAAAAATGTCAATTTCAAACCTTGGAATTTAGGTAATGAGGCATTGTACAATCTTCCCTCTAGGTATACAGAAATTGCCTCTGCCCCAATCTGGAATATTAACCAGAATTTTCCAAAAAATTGTGTTTGGACAATATACTGTTTTTATTATTATTTTTGTTTTTTGCAAAGAAATTAGGGAACTGGACTCCTTTAATTACTGTTAATTTCCTTTTTTAGTCCTTTAATTAGATCAGCAAAGTATCATGGATACCAGCATTATCTTGCATAAGATATTGGTTTATATTTTGAGTAGATGAGAAAATAAAAATGAACTGTTTCCAATAAATCTGGTTTGACATCATGTCTCAACATTTTCTACTGAAACCAAACTGGAAAATAAAATACTTAAAAAAAAAACTTTTTAAAAAACCACGTTTTTCTTGTGGACTAAAAAGTAGAAAATAAAATACTTAAAAAAAACTTTAAAAAAAAAAACACATTTTTCTTGTGGACTAAAAAGTAGAAAATAAATTATGGTTCGCCCCAAAAAAACGTGTGTCGGGCAGAATTTTAAATTTTGGAAATTTGATGGTGAACGTACAGCCCGACCCACGTTCTTTTGGGGCGAACCATAATTTATTTTCTACTTTTTAGTCCACAAGAAAAACGTGGTTTTTTAAAAAGTTTTTTTAAGTATTTTATTTTCTACTTTTTAGTCCACAAGAAAATCGATTAAGACTTGATTAAGTATGACTTGACGACTGACGTACGTATCGATGATACGCAGCGTCAGCGCCTGCTCGTCTATAACGTGAGCGCCCGCACGTCATACTATATATATATACTACATATATACTTTACTCAATTTAACCAATTTAGGTCTCTAATTGCTAGTTTTTATGATTGTATCTGAAATTGTTAGGCGAAAATAGCCTGCATGCCGAATTTCAGATCTCTAGAACAATCAGAAGTGGGCTAATTTTCGTTGTCAATGTTAACAACAAACAAACAAACAAACAAATAAACAAACAAACAAACAAACAAACGCGAAGCTAAGCTAAGAAAAACGTGTTAATTATGCAGAGTCCACCATGAATAGGAGAAAATGCCAGTGAATTTATGTAATTTTATTCATTTCTGTGTCCTATTCTTGATTGCCTCAGTAAAACCTGAGAAAATGTGCTATTTTCACCCACAATTATCACAAATTCCTATGAAACCATTGTTTTTACCCACAATTTCATGGAAATTCTGGCCAGTATTCCAAATTGGTACTGGAATGAGGAATTTTGCAGTTTAAAAATTAGGCATATTTAAGCGTACCATGTAGGTCGAAATCTTTTTTCTATATTTAGGGAAGGATCATCTCGAAACTTGCTACACTTACGTAAAATCAAAAATGATTACTATTTTGTTCATGTGAATTAAAAAAAAAAATGAAAGAATACTATGAAATTCAAAATCTCATTCAATTTGTAAAGAACATATCTAGTGATCGACTGATCATTTTTTCAGTTTTTGTAGGAGGTTTTTTCTGGTTTTTCATTTCTAAGATTTATGCTAGAGAAATGCTTTATATTGTAGCCAAAGCTTTTCCATTGCCAATTAGTTGCATTTAGGGTAACGCCATGCATCATTAAACTTATTCCTGTCTAGTTTAATGTGAATAAGAAGCTATAAATGTGACTTTATATATATGTATAAAAAAATTTCATTTTATGTAAGTTCAAAACAGCCTAACAAAAACATTGCATGTACATCCATGGTAGGTATTAGCTTTGTTGAATGTGCCTTGTTTTTAGCTTTCAAACGAGTACAAACACTTGGCAATTAACATGAGTAATGATCTATAAATACAGGTTTGATTTAAAGAAATCTTTGTACTACCTATTGTTGAAAAAATTTGATATTTTATATGTTTTTTTTAAATTGCTTCATGCAAAAACTAGAGCATGCACATACTACATGCAGTTTGCTGCATTAGATTAAGCTGCCTTCTAGGCATTTTGTAGCTGAATTCTAGGCAGCTACAAAATGAGCCAAGAAAACAGAAAAGTCAAAAGTTTTGATTTTTACCAAATCATCCCCTTAAATTGCAATTGCCTAGTTAGCAAGTTGAAACTGGAAAATTAGCCTGAAGCTATGTGTGAATTTGATTAAAAATGGTTGTAAATCTGGCCACTTTTACCCATTCCTATGGCCTTATTCCCAATTACTTTGATAAAAAATAAATAAAACTGTCTTATTACCTGCAACTACAATTAGATAAGAGGTAACTCATTTAGCAGGAATCTTGTGGTACAAAAAAAAAAAAAACAAGAAAGCTCTAGTTGTCTTGAAACATAGAGGTTTTCCTCACTAGGCACTATCCAGTATCCACAATTTTATTTCTGATCAGCTAACAAATTGGCCAAGAAAATAGTATATGTCAAACTAAGTTAAAGAATGAAAATTAGAAATGATTTTTGTTTTATTAGCATTATTGCACTTGTCTAAGTTACATTTATATAGTTTGGTTGCTTAAACACATGCTTTCTCCTAATTAATTTATATGAATATAATGCTTTTCCATTGAGATATTGACATATGTTTAGGTTTTCCATTTATCTATAGTTACCTGATCAAAACAAAAATACTTTCACCTTGGTTCATTTCCCTAAAAAGCTATTAAACAAATAGTTATTTTTGGAAACACCACATCATAAATTGAATTTATATAATTTTGTTACTAATAGATAAGGCAAGATCTATGACACTTCAGCCACTGCACATTAGTTTCTATAATTATTAAATTATGAACTTCATTATTTATAATACATATTTATATTTCAAATATTCAAATTTTAGGTTTTTGTAATAATTCAAAAATGTGTATTTCCACTTTTTTATATAAACTCTTGACAAATTATTATTCCAGTTTGAATTAATTTTCTTGCAATTATGGTATGCTGGAGCTAATTCTGTACTTCATTTCATGCAATGTGGTTGCAAAAATTATGAATTTATTAGAAATTAAAATATAAGCATTCAAGCTTGCCACTACAATAAACTAAAACCTCACTTAAGAAATAGTTTTAACAGTAGATGAGATTGTAAGCTTCTCTAATATTTCTGTTCTATTTGATCAGAATATGCCTTCAAAGCCATCAACCAGCCTGGACTCACATCTGTTGCATGCAAAGGAGATGATACAGCGGTGTGTGTTACACAGAAGAAAGTCCCAGTGAGTATTGCTGGTGAATCTTGTGTGCAAGAAAGAGAAGGGTGAAATTTATGACATGTAATTTCTAGTTATCTATGACGTGTCTAGTTTCTGCAAAACATGGTTTAATGTGTGAAAAAAATGCAAATTATTTCCATTTTGTTAACACTATAGAGCCTCCATTTTCATTTGTTACTCTACAAAGGTTATTCAATTTGTATACATTCTACAACAAATGTACGAGTTTTTAGCCTTATTATAAAATGGTGTTACCTTAAACTATTTGTCTCTAATTTTTATTCCTTTGCTATATTTACATTTTAAATTACATAAAAATGGCACAGCTTTAACTATATAATGTAGTGGGAATGTTGCTTGATATTTCCCATTTGAATGATTGAAAAAATATAACTCAGTACTCACTGCAGTGAGTGAGAGAGAGCGCATTTTCTCATCGACAAAAACTTGAGGTCACAGACAGACAGACAGACATGGCGAGCACAATAGTGCATTTTTTCCATAAATGAGAAAATGCGCTAAAAAGAGCTAGAAATTTTATCACATTGTTGAAGTTCCTAAATTGAGTAAATTTTGCTAGGATAAGCTGCTGGACCCCTCAACTGTGACGCACATGTTCAAGCTGACCAAGAATGTTGGCTGTGTGGTCACTGGCATGCATGGTGAGATCTATAATACCAGTAGTGCTCATATTGTATTTGTAGTGGGTATTGTTGCATATAATGAAAATGTAGTGTTATTCATAAATCTAGGTTTAATATCAGATAATTGTATGAGGGTTGTTGAACAATATCCATGAATGGCAGAATCATATGTTATTCTGGAGTATGTAAAGTTAGAAAATTTGAGACTGCATATATTCAGTAGGTATTTTGAAAGCCAGTTTCAGTAATATTAAAAGAAAGTGTTGATTGATATCCATGGCATAAGTATTTATATTTGTAAAAAGTATTTCTTACAATATATTAGTCTGTAGTATATTTATTTCTACAGCATTTTATAACATTTGGGTCGTTTTTATGTGTGTAGGACTGTGAGTGTTATTTGCTAAAATTTTATTGTCTATTTTAGGTTAGCTCATTTGATGTTTGAAAGCTTTTTCTTAGAATGAGTCGGTTGCAATTTGATTCATTTCTAGCTAAAATTCTCTACATATCAGAACCATGGAGTATTGTTGCATCATACTTTTGTTTAGTATTTTGTTTGTGTTGAAATGAGATATGAAATGGAGACAAAAGCAGCTCTCAAATGGCAGGATAGTATGCAAACAGCTTATCAAGTAACTGCTGTGCAGTTGAAAATCTTCTTATTAATTGAAATTATTTTATTTCAACATTTTATTTCTAGTTGCATTTATTTCATTTTCTATAATTTGTCTAAAGTTAAGATCTTATGCTGGTTGGAAGAAAAACCATTGTAATTTTTTTAGAATTCAGTTTTGATAATAATAAATTGAACATAAGTCAAAGTAATGCTGCTTTATCACTAAATGTGCAGTAATTTATTTACTACATTCCTGTTCTCCTAATTAGGAAACTTTCATTACATTTATATGTTTCAGCTGATTCAAGGTATCAGGTTATGGTTGCTCAGCATGAGGCCAATAACTTCAAGTACAAGTATGGCTATGACATGCCAATTGATGCGCTCTGCCGCCGTATAGCTGACATCAATCAAGTCTACACGCAGAATGCAGAAATGCGACCTCTTGGCTGCAGTAAGTGCACACGTACAGTGTGGTTGTTATTACACTGTTTTAAATAATTTCAAATATTTATTCTGTATTTTGTTCTATTCATTTTGCAGTAGCCTAAAATGTGCTTGATTGTGTCCTGTCAGTTAAAATAAATGGTTATGTACGGTATAGCAAATTTTAAGATATCTTGAGAAGCCTATTTGCAATGTGGGAGGGCTTTGCTATTCACTTCCAAATAATTATTGAACAGAATTTTATGAGTTCCTGCTTCAGATAACAAATGTTTGGCAATAATTTTCTTCAATATCTAAAATTTTACCGTCATCGTAAACATGGGTTTCTTTCAATTTTTATTTGTCTTCATTCACGTCTCCTTCACTCACCTCAGTTCTACCATCATTCACTGTTAGGTTGTTCCTCAATTTGACACAAAGCTTTAATTTCGTTTTTTTTACTGTCCTTGTAACCGTTGTTTACTGTTATTGTTGTGCTAGTGTCATAGTTACTGCACGTTTGGTGGCTGAACTGGTGTCATGGTGCGTTGTATGTTTGCAGGCATGATCTTGATCGCCTACGACGACGAGCTCGGCCCGTGCGTGTACAAAACTGACCCCGCCGGCTACTACTGCGGCGCCCGGGCGTGTGGCGCTGGCGCTAAGAACACTGAAGTTAATTCCTTCCTCGAGAAAAAGTTAGCTGCTTTAGTTATTTCTTGACACAATAATTGTTGACTTTATTATACAGTGGGGGGAAATAAATATTCGTACACTTGAAAAATCGTATTTTAATGTATGTAAGTACACAAACTTAACAGGAAAAGTGATTTAAATTATGTATAGAGACGCATAGTATTCAAAAATACTATCAAAAGAAATTGAATCTCTGGTGGTGTGCCAAGAAGAATGGTATAAAATACCAGTCAGCATATGCAAATCATTGGTCGAGACGTATAGAAATAGACTGGTGTCTGTTGAGCTGAATAAAGGGTATTCAACCAAGTATTAAATTAAAATAATGCGGATTTATTGTTTTGTGCGAATACTTTTTTCACCCGAAAAGTGAACATGTTGCATTGTTTTTTTGTTGCATTGAGATTTAATTTCTTTTGATAGTATTTTTGAATACTATGCGTCTCTATACATAATTTAAATCACTTTTCCTGTTAAGTTTGTGTACTTACATACATTAAAATACGATTTTTCAAGTGTACGAATATTTATTTCCCCCCACTGTAGATGATTCCCATAATTTATTGATAGGAGCAATGAATGGGTGATTTATTTTCTGTATTGTTATTATTCAACTATCCGGCTTTGATATGCTGTTCGCCCCCATTTGTGTGGATGCTTTAGACCAGATAACTGGCCCGCACCGACTTGTTCTCTAATGTGAACTGCAGGTACCGAACAAAGACGCCCATGGACCGTGACGCGACCATCCAGCTCGCCATCACGTGCCTCATGACGGTGCTGAGCGCAGACTTCAAGCCCACTGAAATTGAGGTCGGCATCGCCTGCAAGGACGAGCCAGAATTCAGGTCAGTCAAATCCCTTCGAATGTTTCTTAGTGCTCTACTGGAAATTTGCAATTTTCCGGACGCCTTTTTTGCTTTGTAATAGTTCTATGGATTTCTCATTACCAGGGGACATAATTTTTTTGATCGTCTCGCCAAAAAAATAGTGCATGATTGCGGGTCTCTGTTGTGGAGTTAAGTAGTTAAGTGTGTGGTCAAGCATAAGCCTGTATAAGCCATCTATTGTACGAATATCTTCCTTTCTGCAGTTGTTCTGCTTGCCCTTCTTCTTCCAGTTCTGTTCACCTGTCGCCCTGAAATAAACTTATGGTTGTTTTCAGAGAGTATGACTTTCTTAAATTCGATATGAATTGCGCTCGCGAATGAAACGTTCAAGTTATATAGGCACAATTCTTATTTTTTTAACCTCCTTGCATGATGAATATTGCATGCTTAGATGTGCCTCGCTATTAATGCTGTGAAACGCGCCTGATATCACAACATAATAAGATACTTCTATACAAATCGATTAATACATCCTATTAAGCCACAAATTCTGTTCATTTTCTATCGTATCCATTTGTGTTCATTTAATGTGAGAATGCAACATTAGTTTCAATTACTTCTACTCGGCAGTAATGCAGTCTAAGTTTTGAAACAAAATTTACTCATCACAACCTGCTATAACTTGTTGTCATTTCCTCTCAACAATTGAAAATTTTATCTGCTTTTTTTTATTTAGAGAAGATTTCTTTGATTCGCTATGGCTAATCTACTGATTGAATTATTTGTTTCATTTTCAGAACGCTGACTGAGCAGGAGATGGACTTCCACTTGAGCGCCATCGCCGAAAGGGATTAAAACCTCGCGCCTTTTTTATTTATATTTTGTACCTCCGTAGGTAAATAATTTGTCTTTGTATGGCATGAAATCAGAATAACATGTATGCAATCACGGAATGAAATCGGTATCGGTTCTTTACATTCAATGTTTGAAAAACTGGCGGGCCTCAAATTACCAGCATTCTGAAGTGAAGACATCAAATGAAGTTTAAAAACAAAGGTCATTTTGTTGAGTTTTCAGCCAGCTAGAGTTTTTGGTTGCATTTTTTATTTAACCGAGTAGTTAATTTCTTCAACTAGATAATGATCTTAGATTAAATACAGGGTTTCGTAATAAAATTTATAGTCATCGAATGTTTTACTATCATATGTTCACTTGATTGGCTGTAAATATCCGTTCTAAAAGCGAATGGCTCGTGTTGTTCAAAGCTGTAATGAGAATCGCTTATTTTATGCAAAGGCATCGAGGCGTTTGCTTTTCCAGGCAACTTGCGACACTGCAATAGGTTGACAATATTTGTCTACAGTCCCACTGGTGTTTTTGTTTGGCGTTTATTTTGCATCGGTAGGTTTGTTTGAAAGTCAGAGTGAACGACACAAACTTGTCTTCCTTTACCTTTATTTGCATTGAAAGAGGTCGTGCGAAGGCAACTTGACGAATAAAATTTAAATATTCACCACCTTGGAATCGACGGGTTTGTTGAAATTGATACTCAATTATAAATTTTGTAACTGGCTAGAGTTTCATTGCATACGAGCATTAAAGTGTAATAGCACATTGCGTTATTCCATTAATTGGAAATCATATAGAGATATATATATATATATATGCGCAGGGGATTTGGCCAATGAAACCTGTCGCGGAGCATATACAAATGTGGAATCCATATTACTGATGCCTGTAATACCAGCTAAGAACAATTCCAATTGTCACTATCGGTGAATCCGTGATTAGGTTGACTTAACCTGCTGGGTGCTTATAAGGAGGCATTCCAAGTAGTGCCCGTACACTTACGGCACCATTGCTTGAGCCCTTTCGTGACTGACTGGACTTTTCGGTCTCAAACCACTTGACTTGAACGAATAGCAATTTTGTTTCATTCCTGTTAATGTATCCGAGACGAAAGAGTCTAGAAATACTTTCGGAGGCTAATATGCCTTCAAGCGTGTTTACCCACAGAAAGGAGAATACGAGGTGGAGTGTACATTTTGGCCTCACCGTCTTTTAGCATGCATCGCGTGCTATTCTTGGTGGTATGGCAGAGCGAGACCAAATTCGCTTTCGTGGTCCTGTCACCAAAGGGGACGAAAAATCAGGTACAAGATACGGTGGGCGCTGGTGGAGAACTGCAAACAAGCCAGGTCTAGGAGGAACGACTTAAAGGGTACGTCCCCATGCACGTGGACTATGGGTGCTATCCTGTCAAGTTGCAGCGCTTAACATGTTCCACAAACGGTACGTTCCACCTGACAACAAGAACTTGTTTTCGCCTCTCACTGCAGACCGAAACAAGATCTGCATTTTGCAAATTATAGACGACGAGACCGACACTTACAAGACCGGAGATCGTAGCGCAGCCTAGGTCTCATGTGCGAGATCGGTATAAGGCGGTGTGGTCAGTATACTCGTTTTTACCTTTCATATATAATGATATTGATACGTCTGATGCCAATGAACAGTGAGTGAAAGGTGGTCGCGAAGTTAGAAGATATATGTTGATTAGGAGAGTAAAGGGAGAACACTACACTTTCTTTAGTGTGATTCTTTAATTTCACTTTTGATTGTGAAGTTGTTATCGTCAATTTTAAACTAATTACTGAAAATGAATTCGATGGAGTCTTTAATATTTTTACGGCAGTAATATGGACATTCCATGCAATATTATAGGGCTGCAAAAATAATTGATTTTTAAATAAATTTCAACATAAAAACTTCAAATAAGATTGATTAGAATTATTATTAAGAGCTCCATGCTATATTTTATACATTATTAAAGACAGCTTCTACTTTAGCAATCGTTTTTTTACTTATCGAGTAAAGTTTTTGCAACCTGTACAACAGCTTCGCCGGTGCTCAACATAAAAGGACATGAGTATTCACAGAAGTATAATGCAGGTGGTGTCCATTGCAGTACATGGAGCTCTCGCAGCGTAGCTGCAGATTTTACAGATGGTGCCTGAACTGCACTCATTTATTGGGTCATTGACGAGACGCAGAAGCATTGGCCAGGAATCTTAACATATCTTCAGTATGTAATTGAGAAGTTAATTAAGGCTATTAAGTGTCTTATCCCTCAACTTACAAAGAATGGTATGTTTTACAGTCCATTTGTAATAGTTTTTTGACCGCCTTGCTTAACTGCATTGGGTCTGCAGACCAAGCATTCGTCAGGTCAGGCTTGGAATGCTACGCAGCTCAGTAACGAGGCTGTATGAAGGCCGCACTCCTTATAAAAATACACGGTCGTTTAAAAACGAACGCTAGATATTCAGATATTCATCGCATCCTTGATGTCAGCTGTGCATGATCAGAAACTAACAGTCTTTTGCTGACGCCCGATTCAATCAAAACAATGTAAAAATTTTCATCTCTGCGTAACTACCGCCATATAAGTGTAGCTTCTCCTTCTCGTCCCTTGCTCGTTGCCATCGTTCGATCAAGTAGACGCATTGGAGCCTGACTAGAACAATAAATCTGTCCGAAATGATGTATCGCATCTCTTCGTTTTAAATTATGCTGGCACAATCCCTTATTGAATTTGATTGGACGAAAACACGGCTTGTATAATTTTTTCTTTAATCATTTCTGGATCTACGACTTTAAATTACTATTTTACTTGCTTGGTCGGTCATTACTTTTTAATCAGAAATACTAATGCATTTACTTTAACATGGCCGAAGTGGACATGTTAAAGTAAAATTTGATGTCATGAATAAAAATCCGGGTCCTCCTCATCAGAATGAACGTGAAGTATGTGAGTACTTGGAACGAAAATAATTATCATTAAATATAGGCTCGATCACTTTAACGAAAAGAAACCTACTAGGGTTGAATGGCTAATTGCAAAAACATTGTAGCGAAATATCATCTGTCTTCTCAATAGCTTAGACAAGTCGACCTCCATTCTTGCACATCCTTATCTTAGTACTGAAGGCTAAATACTGGCGTATAAACAGACATGAATTTCCAAGGATGTAAAGTTATTAATTTTCTAATTGAATTTGATCTTTTGTAATAACAGATATTGACTAAGTTTCATTAAACTTTAATTTTCCGATGATGTAGAAATTTTATATAAGACAAATATTTCTTATAAATTATAGACTGTAGGTATAATATACCACAGTTTAACTTCATCGTAATTAAACTATGCAATTTATCACCGGCTGAACGTTGGTTCATATTTTGGAATCTCTCTGTTTGAAGTTAATAAGTAGGCCCCCGAATCATGTTTCGCAATGCTTATGATTGGCATAATGAATAGAACTTACAATCTGCTTTACTACTAAAAAAAGTCGGTCAGCCTGCATTGCTTGATAATTTAGAATAGACCTAACGGTAACAGATGGTATCATGGTACCACTGCGACTGCATGTCCATGTCACCGTTTTAGGTACCACATCTCTTGATAGCACTCACTCTTCCCTTCGGGCTAGTTCCAATCGCAGTTTTTACCAATAAAAAGGATCAAAATACTACGCGTTTGCATTGGTTGATTCTTCATGTGATTTATTAGGTAATACAAATAATAAATGAACAATAACTAGGTACCGAAGTAGTATTGACTGAGATAGCCGTCTTGACTTGACAACAACGTCAGCTCAACTTCATGCTCGAAACACGTTAGAAACAGGCTGAAGGTGGCTGAAGCTTATCCATTGCCAGTTCCCAGTTAAAAAATTACGACATGCATAATTGCTGTCTTAAATTTCGTCTACACGTCTGCAGCTAGTAAGGCTAGTGCCTGAGCAGAGCTCCGTAATATGAAGCTCCAGCTCAAGCGCTCACTTCCTGGCACTGCTAGATCAACTTAGCTAATGGTTAGTTAGCCTAACCTCACACGAAGCTACCATACCCCGAAACTCTTGTTCAAAGTAGGCACAAATAAAGCCCTGCGTTCAGACAATGCTCGACTATTCAACTCTAATGGGTTGCTAAAGACTATAATTTCAGTTTGAAGGAATTTTTGTTTCAAGAACCATAGCCTAGGCCATAATTTTCTATGATTGAACTGGAAAATATTGCAATGCATTTTTTAGTAAATACTGTCTTAAAAGTAAACTAGTGAAATTGGGTTTAAAGACATCCCGAAATTCTACAAAATTCTAATTCTTACATTTTATTTTACAAATTCCTATTTTTACGATTACTATTTTCACAAATAAATTGTTTGCACACAAAATTCTGCATATCTCTTCACTCACTCTCTCCCTCTCATGAGAGTCTGCAGATGCCAATAGTCGCCAGATGCCAACGCTGTTGTTCGCACGCTGGGTCGCTGCCTGCCTGACAGGTGTGCTGCCTTACAAGGGAAGAAAGTTGTTAATGGACTGCCCGCCACCTGATCGCATACACAGCTCGGCCCTTCATTCATATGGCTAGCTTTTGTTGATATCACATGATTTGCTGGTATCATACTCGCCAGGATGTCGTTCGCGTTGCACAGGCCATTCCTCCAAATAGGAAAATATTCACTGAAAAAGAAATTAGTGCGTAAGGTTCTTTTTATGTATTAAAAATTTAGATTTATGTTTACGATACTACTCATATACAGTGGGAGGCGTCGGTTGACGTCAAACGCAATCGGATTGTTCCACTACGCAAATATTATTCCCGTATTCAGCCCAAACTTTTCTATATTATTTGTAACGCCTACAATCATGCATTGTTGTCGCCTTGTTTCTGATATTTCATGGAAAATTCTCAAATGGCCCTCTACTCCGTTTTTTTTTTATCGTGGGCATTCATTTGCCAGTAATTGTTAACGGTAAGGTTAAATCGTTGATGTTGACAATGTGGAATCAATACATAAATTAGCAAATTAACTTTAACCATGGCGTATTCGTTCGCTCTACTTTGGATATTTATTGTTATGAACGATGAATATGAAAGCGGTTTTTACGTATATAATAGTTTTTTCAACTATAGGCTTGTAGTTCTAGTCGGTGCTTACTAAGCAGTCGTACAGTAATTTTTATGTGCGGGCAAATGTTGAGATTAAACTTTTTGAAGTCCAGTTCTTTCTTATTTTCTAATCTACTTTAATATTTTCTTCGATATCTGATGTACGACGATGCTTGTACCCCGGATGATTGCTGGTCTATGGAAATTGCCTCGAATTGAAGATCAACAATTAAGTCTGATTTGCCACTAGTCGGTTCTGATCGATGTTATATATAGTAAAGAAATTAATGCATTCAATTTCAAGTTGGAGATATCAATGTATGGTAACACTGTAGCCGCCGTTAGATTTTAATATACAAGTAGCCTTTGTTTCTCTCGTTGATTCAGGCCTGCCCGCGTAACATTGATACTATACTAAGAAACACTCAACCATTGCGGTTAACTGTAACATTTATTCTATTTTAATTACGTGCGTTAATACTCAACCGTTATCTCATTCGTGCTTTCAGTTCACCAATCTTCCTACCAGCAACATAACCTAATTGCTTCACAATTGGAATATGGAAGTCGTCTGTCAATCATGTTTGCTTGATGGTTTAACTGAGAATTCATATAGATTTTACAGCAAGGTGCATTAATTTATAAATAAAGATTGGTATGCTACTCAATTCTTACTGGGAAGAGCGGAACAAAGCCTATAGAACCCTCATGTAGGGGATAGTGGAGAACGGGAACAATAATCAATAGGCGCATTTTAGCAGGCGTTTAGTGACTGCTGTAGCTGACGGAACGGACGAGTCAGCAGTATACAACTAAGTGCGGACGTGTGAGGTTGCCATTTTGGTGCTCCTGAGGCCTCACTGGAAGCTGTCTGCCAGCTCACCATTGATTTCCCTTGTTTGACTTTTTTCGGTAGATGTGCTTAAGTTTTGTTCCTGTAAATATTTGCGTAGGGACAATCAGGGACTTGAGTAATTTTCTACCTCACTCGTGTCGGGAGTTTAGTACAAGTTAATTTGTTGTACTTGTAGCTGGCTGTGAACTTGTGAGACTTCTCAGCTGGAAAATCTCAGGCCTTCTTTCTCTGCGCTTCCTTAGGTTTTCGCCAAGTTGCTTCAATGTTCAAGGGCTTCCGTAAACGCTTCACTACACACAGGTAGGCCTACGTCAGTCGCATCGCATAAGTTTAGACTTTAGTCCATAATATTCATAAATAATAGTGTGTAGTTTTTGTTTTGAAAAACGTGTTTATTTATTTCTATTCTATTCAAATCATGTAAATTACGCTTGTTAACTGTGACCTCTTCATGAAAATATTTTCGCAACTGAATCGTAAGACGTAAGTTAACTGACTTAACTCTGGTAGTGTATTTGCTGTGGATGCTTCCTCTGCTGCTCTGCACCTGCATCGTATCTCTACTGGCTGCCAAAGCAGGTCCCTGGAGACTAGGAAGCTCTTTCGTGCATACTTTTTATCATCTAAAACTTCTTTTTGAATTATTAGCTCCATCATCTGTAGGAAGTAAGTTCTGCAGTAGCTTCAATTCCCGTCTAAGTTTCAAATGAACATTGAATATTTCATTATGCGACCGAGGTAAAAATGGAAAAGTAGAAATAAAGAAATTTATTTTGTTTGTGCTACCTTGTTGATTTATTTATTTATTGTGAGCCCCTTTCGCCTTAGTTTTTCAGTTAGTTGAGAAATTACACGCTTTAGCCCTACATAACTTCTAATAACTATGAATATCATCCCGGTTCAATGGAATTAAATGGTTCCATGATATTACACCCATAAATAATCTGAAGTCTCAAGTCAGTGAAGTTACGAATAATAAATTTATTATTATTGGAAAACAATTCCAAATTAAAATTTATGTTTATGAGCTCGAAGTATTCACAAAAATATGCACGTAGATGTATGCAAGCAAATAATAAATAATGATATTTGAATCACCTTGTGACCTTGTGATGAGTTTAAGACGTCGTAGTCCACGGTCACGCTGATGCGCCGCCTTCGTCGTCATCCGTCTCCGAGTCGTCGTCGGATGTAACGTTGGCCGTGTTCCGTCTATTTGCCCTCCTTTGGGCCAGCTGATGCAAGATGTTGTTGCTTGTCACTTGCTGAGGGTGGTTTCCCATTACTGGATAATCCGGTACGGATCATTGTCGGTAAATTGTCAGGTAAATTTGTTCTTGATATTTCTGAGTACTTTGCTGTAGGGATTAGTGCGGTAAGATGCTAGTTGGGTCCAGCTCTGGGCCACGCCAGGTGGTGCGGCAAACTAGCCGAATTAGGCAGTGCTGCACTTCTTGCTCGCCAGCGGGTTCGCTGTTGACCATCTGAGCACGATTTACTACTTACTATCAGCCTTAGTTTCCTAATTATGTCCTAATATGAGATATTTTTCTCATTGGCTGGCGAGCAAAATAGCAGCAAGATCATCGCAACATGATCGAAAATATTTATTTTGAGGGAGGAGGGTTCTAGTTACCTAGTTTTAACACATCTGTTTGCTGAACTAATCAAATTATCTCTGACGGTGATTAATGGTGCATATTTGATTATATTTCATTCGTTGATATTCCGTCTCGTACCTCTTATTAATCATCCGCCGCAGTTCATGCCTCAACATGCGCTCCATTTTCTTGACTTGTTTTCTTCGGCGACTTATCATGATATTCGAATGAGTAATATTTTCTACACAGGGTGCATCCTGGCCTTTATATCAGAGGTTCTTTGGCATTCATGAACTTTTGGACATAAGAAAAGTGGTATTTCTACCAAAAATCAATACTGTTGAAACTGGCATCTATTGCGATCAGAGTCTAGTGAACAACACGAACTGTGTGTATTGATAGGTTTACGCCCCATGAAGTATCGGCTTGGGATCATGTCTTGATCAACGATGCCATTCAAGCTCGGGTTTCTGAATGGTCGGTAACGGAGTAGTTTTATTACTACGCTTTGGTGCCTCGAGTTGTATGATCTTAATGGAAGCCTTGCGCTTGTCTTATCTTGCGGCGCTTTTCTCTTCAGACTTTGAGATGACGTCAAGACCTGGTAAAGAAGACAGGTTCCTCATGCGCTTTAACGCACCCAAAGATTTAGACATTTGATTAAGTGAATTGTGTTCAGTGTATCACGCAATGTTGCTTCTACACACCGAGCTGCGTTTATAGTCAACATTACCTATTTATATAACGGTTTACTAATCCTCGAGTAAACTTGAAATATGCTTGTAGCGAAGTTTGAAAAATGGCTCCGCGTGAGGATAATAGTTGACACTCGTCTTGATTGTGCCAAATTATTTAGAATAAAAGAAAACATTTAATAATAATTAGTAATTTTTTGGTAATTACCCAAATTATTGAGAGAATGTTAGAAACTGTGCTGGCTCCTAATTGAGAAACTGGAGACGTGATTACTTTTGATTTAGACTAATCCATCAAATAAATCATTTTAGTTCACTATTTGATATATATTGTTATTGTATACGTTTAAAACCCGCTTACAGCGAGCTATTTAACTCTTCACTATTTAAAGTATAAATTCTCCTCTGATAGAAGTTTTAACTGAAAATGAAACAAAATTGTAGTTTTCAAAGTGAATGAACATTATCTATCCAGCAGCCACCGTTATTTCTACCTGAAATTTATATCGAAGGTGTGCGTTCGCAATCCTGGCTTGCTAATTTTTCGCCGTAACAAATCGTGATTCATAATTACGTTTTGCTTTACGAGTTTACCGGTACACATCCTGATCTCTCGGTGCCGTAATTCTGCTCACAGCTTCCCTGCAGCCCGCGCGCTGAGTGACGAGCTTTCATTGCGCTCTATATTGAGGCCCTGAATTGACTCATTTAGCGAGCAGCCCGCTACTACCGCCAACACATACTATCGTGCCTATACTTGGTTTACTGGATATATATATACATGATGCATCAAATGTGTAGTGTATAGAATACAAATTTCCTTCAAATATCGAAATAAACAACAATTAGCAAATATATTCAAAAGCATCTGCCCATGTTCTAACTTCGAGCTTTGAGCTATACTACAGTGAGCTGTAACTCACAATAGTAACGCTGTGCTCTTATAAAATGTTAGGTATCTTCAACGTGTACGCTCTAGTTGGTTCCGTTATAAAAGTTCTCTCTCTGTCTCCGACAAAGCAATACGCGAAGCAATAAAGGCGTTTTGAAGTGAAGATCTTCTCAAACGTGCTTCACTGGATCCAAGTTTCCTGAATGAAATTGAATACCTCGGGCTTTTGCCTAGCCGTTATTGAAGGAAGCATTGGCGTTATTGTGTTGCTAGAATGTAAGCTGCGTCTTTGGCCGCCGCCACGTGCCATATTTTATTGCAGCCGAAATTGCACTATCCTTATAGAATCCATATTGAGTATTGAATATGTTGGGTGAATTATCTGTGCCGATCGTCTGCGATTATCCTGATAGTCAATACATACCTATGTTATTACCAAGATGCCATTGTAGGTAGGATGTAATACTTACGTGTATTGCTGAATATCAAATGAAATATGTGTGGGTACACTCAGAAAAATGAGTGAGACTGTACAAATAGTGATGCACTATTTGCTCTCGTGTAGGTCATATCATGATCCAGTTTGGCACAGAAAAAGAGCTTCAGCTACCGTACGTGTGTCCGTATTTGGACGATATGAGCCATCCATTTCCTGAGTGTTAGATTGTGTTTTCCTCCATTGATTATGTTCGTTGCTTGTCAATGTAGTATTTTTAGCGCATTTTCTCATTTATGGAAAAAATGCACTATTTTGCTCGCCATGTCCGTTTGTCTGTCTGTCTGTCTGTCCGTCCGTCTGTCTGTCTGTCTGTCTGTCTGTCTGTCTGTCTGTCTGTCTGTCTGTCCGTCTGTCCGTCCGTCTGTCCGTGACCTCAAGTTTTCGTCGACGAGAAAATGCGCTCTCTGTCACTCACTGCAGTGAGTACTGAGTTATAGTTTTTTTTCTCATTCTGCATCAAAGTACAATTTTCAGGGTAAGAAAGTCAATAAGAGAATATTTGTGAAATCACGACGCATGCAATTATTTGTACATTCACAGTACGCGGGTCATCGGTGCGTGAGCTAGCTTCCACGATTATGGCTTCTTTCGTTAAAACTTTGCAATAAGGTTTACAGCTGAAAAATGAAAAAGTCGTCCAAGGTACAATTTATTGAATTCACTAGAAAACGAGCTTCTGAATAATTAATACTTTGGATTTGATTCGCAAATTGCTTGCTATTGTTCGATGCCTCCTTCATAAGTTATGGACACAATGAGTATATTTCCCGGCCTTCAGTGATATGTTCTGTGATTTGTTATGTTATGCTTCCTCTGCTAGTGAGGATCATCAACGCGTGTATTTGTTATTCTGTCGTTCGTGTCTGCGCTTTGTAGTATACGTATCAAACAATATATATTGACTTCGAAATGCTATATTAGCTTATCATTGCAAAATTTTGATGTCTTGTTGCTATGGAGGCTTGGTCTCAACGACGGATACATGCGGGAATGGAGGAGCGGTTTTTGTAGTAAGCAATGTTGACATGTGTGACGCAGCATGCTTACGCTTCTGTGCGTATAGCCTGTACTGAATACTCGCATTCATTAGCGGGCTTTGACTTGGTGCACTGACAACATTGCGTGTACGCTGAACTCTCGTGCGCCGGCACGTAGTTTGTGCAGAGCCTCGTAGGAAATAATTAACGTTCCGCAGTCACGCCCACGCGAAGCACACAAGACGACGAGAAAGTCAAGGTCCCGAAACCACAGCCTCGACAGACGCGATCCGAGACTAGCGAAATGATCGGGACGAGCGACCTGATCGAGACGAGGTAGACCGTCACGCGATCGTCTGCGCGAGAGCGGCTTTGTTTATGCAAGAGGTTTTCAAAGAGAAGAAAATGCTCGTCATGCATAACGTTTTGGGCGTTTTAGGCGTTTCTGAAACCGGATAATGATCACGGCAATAATGTCGTTGATACGATTGCTGACAATTTCACCTTCAATAGTTCTCTAGTTACGCATCATATATTTTTTATTCTGTTTCGTCTGACATTTAGAGTTTTTATAACACTTATTCAACACATTAGGTACTTCCTATAATACTTATTCAACATTTTTGGCACTTCTTC